AGGCAAATACCATACATTTTTTAGTTATTATCATATTTTTTTTTGATACAAGTAACTAAAATGTAAAACTTAGAAACTTCTTAGGTTAGAAAACAAAATGTAAATAACATAATAGAATGTTCAAAATGCCACTAGCTCAGTCAATGGAGAAGATGAACCCACCATACCAATGACTATGATAACTTGCTTACCCTAAGTTCTACCAGAAACATACGATTTTACTGTGATTTATTGCTTTTTCACATGTAGTAGTAGGTCCAATGTACAGCAATAAAATTTAAAAAAATGCAGATGTGAAAAGGTTTTGAAATTGAGACTGTTAGAATAAATAATTGTAATTGTTACAATTTATATTTATTGCAAAAAAAAAAGATATTATTAATTTTATTTCATATTTTTCAACTTTTTATTTCACTGTACATCAATGAATTTGCTGCAATTAATGTTAGGGTAGAGAAAATGTGAGATAAAGTTTTGCCAAAAAAACATTTAATAATATCCATTTTGTAGGTTCTAGAGGTTCATATGAAAACTGAAGATGAAAAAAGGCAATTTTATTCTCAGCATGAAAATCACCTTTCTCTCAGACTGACTCAGTATGTAGTTCTTTTGCTTGTATAGCTAGGTGATTAGTGAACTTTGCTAATCAATTAATCGATTACATTCAACTAATCGATTATTTTCAAGGGTTGACAACAACTTACAAATCAGGTTTTGATAGCCACTGTGGGAAGAGCACAGACAGCCCATTGAGTAGCTTTGCACTTAACAACAAAAATAATGGCAACAATTTAATTACTTTAACAGTTGGTACAATTAAAAATAATCAGGAAACCTAATTTTAATTACTTGATTAATTTCATTAGGTGTGGCACTAATTGATTAAGCTGAATAAATTTAGATTAATCAAAAATAATAATGAAAAATCATAATGGTAATATTGATTAGTCAATAATTGTACATGACATTACTTGATGCAATCAATGATAAAGTTAATCATCCAGCTCTATTTAGTAATATAAGTAGATGCAAAGAAAGATGTAAGTAAAATAAGTTACAATAAAAGGTAACATTTAAAACATTGAAATTTTTGTTTTTATACATAAAAAATATTTAAAGTTGATCTTTAAAATTAATAGAGTGACTTTAAAAACAATGTTCACATTAAGTTCCTGTTAGACTGCTAACTTATACCTCTACAATACCTTTTTTTCCCTCAGCTGTCACAAAATAATGCAACAATCGATTAACCAGAGAAAGAACTGACTTGAAGATATTGCAACTGAACAAAGTTACCACAAATCATTTTTCCAATTAATCTAGTGTCTTTTATTTATTTTTTGGTGAGACCTCATCACTCTCATCACAACATGGTCTCCTTGGCCTTTTGAATAAGAAAATGTCTAGTGACTTTTCAGCAGTAATTGCCCCTCTAGCCATGTGCATTTTTTACTGTGCATGTCACAAGGTTTTTATCGAGTTACATTCAACATTTAATTAAAATTTGTTCATGTTATACCAATTAGTATAGCTAATGATCCTTATTTTAATAGTATATATATATATATATATATATATATGTTTTAAGTTCTTAACTATATTAGAAAAAAAAATCCTAAATTTCCCCTAGTGCGAGAAATGTAACATGTTTTCACTAGGCATCCCCTCTTCTCTAATTTATTTACTACACCTTCAAGGAGTACAAAATTTAACATAAATTACTTATCATAATGTCACCACTCAGGCAAAGCATAATTTTCATAGCCTTCAATTTTGTTTGGTTACAGCATCATCAAATATAAAATCAGACCCCTCTTGCCACACCCACCTGTCACATCCTCTCTTTCAGGATTTGTCAATAGTTCTCTCTTACATCTAATACTATATTATTTATAAGCAATAGAAAGCCAAGGTTTTCATCTATCAAATGATGTATTGTATTATATTGTTCTCTGTACAGAAAAATGTTAATTTCTCTTACAGTATTAGTTGAGAAACACATTGACTAGCTTGGATGAATTTGTACCAGCTCTAGCTGCATAGTTAGAAAGCCAGAAAAGTTGTGATAGTTATGTCTGTTTTTGCATGTATTATTCTATCTTATTTGGTGTTATTTAATTAAATAAAAATTATTTAGTGCACTACTACCACTAGTATAAAAAAGAAGGGTTAAGTGTCACCAACAGTCGATAACAAAAAAAGAAGGCCCAGGTAAGTACTTAATGTATTGTTCTCCATGTGTATTCTATATTTAATATTATAAAAGTAACTAAAATTTAAAAATAGGAAGCACTTTGGGTTAGTTAAGGTTAGATTAGGTGAAATAAATAATAATAATATAATAACAAAATTCTCGTGAGCCACACATGCAAGCAGATCAGAGTAGGTCGTGGGTAATGCAATTCAATAACATGATGTGAGCCACACATGCAAGCAGATCAGAGTAGGTCGTGGGTAATGCAATTCGATAACATGATGTGAGCCACACATGCAAGCAGATCAGAGTAGGTCGTGGGTAATGCAATTCGATAACATGATGTGAGCCACACATTCCCCATGTGATTTACAACTATAATGGTGTGAATAGTAGTTAGACATGGTTCAAATGGCAATAAAACAATAAAATTCAAGTATAAATAGATGTTTAAAACCACTCAGGATAAACAAATGAAGTTTCAAGTTACAATTCAAGTTATTCTAGAAAGAAAAACGGGTAATTTAGATTTTCTTTGATTTTTTGGTTTGGTGGTAATGAGGTTCATCAAATTGACCAACCTTGTATAGAGCAAAACAAGAGAAAATAACAGATAAAATATAAAGTTTTACTTAAACAAAACGTTTGAAATGTATTTAGGAGGTTTTAGAGATTATGCAAAGATTATGGTCAAAGGCCATGTCATCGTGTTTGTAGACTCGCATTCAAAATTTAATTGAACTACTATTTTATGAATGTATGTCAATAAGTCTGGTACCAAATTGTACATTATAATTCAAATTTTAGCATTATACATTAATTAATTTCTTAATTCAAAAAAAAAACATTTAAAAAAACCCTAAATATAAATGTTTGTGTGTCATGTGGAAAGTTGAATGCAGCATTGGTTCAAATTAGATATTTGTGATGTGCAAAGTCTATAGTTTCTTACAAATTAGATACTCAAATTACTGATATTGAAAACTAGAATATAAGAACCTCCTATCTTTTCTACTTTCTGAGATATTAATATATTTATTGAATCAACCAAGGTGGCCCCGCCCACCTCTTCTGTTTTTGAAAATACTTCCTTACGTACACCTACTTTGTTCAATGACGTGTGTATAACTAATCAAAAGCTCAGAATGTCCCTCTAGTGGTTTTCTCAGCATCAGTAAAGAATTTTTCATGGGAAACTTTCTTTTATTGCTAGGTTCCAAACGGTTAGGTAAAACATTAGTGAGCTCAAAAAATCATATTCTTTTAGACTCAAATACAGCTTGGTTACTAAGTGGATAAATTCTGGAATTCTGTGGTATTGACATAGTAATTTATGATTTTTTGTTACTTCAAAATGCATATATATAAAACCTAAACACAATCATTTTGTTTTACACGTGCGAAAATTTGATAAAGCTTAGCAACTTATGGCAAGCAGCAAACAAGCACAAAGTTAGTAACTAGAAGAGATAATTGTTATATACATGTCTTTATTTATTGTTCTATGTTTTAAGAAAATTTACTGAAATTTAAGAACTTATTTGGAAATCGTAATAATGTATATACATATATAATGTATTATAACTGAAATATGACTGTATTTTACAAAATACTGGTCCACGATAGCACAGTCGAAACAGGTCACTTTGTAAAGGCCAGTTTTATATCCTTGGATATGGTAACATGAGCGTACTTGCGCCATGTCATTGCAACTTCTGTAATGTTAGTCAGGCAAGGCTGAAAGGTCAATAAAATAAAAATAATATATATATATATATAATGTTATGAGGTTCAAACTATTTAGACTAAACATTTGTGTTTTCATGTTACAATTTGTGTTCATTCTAAATTGAAAGAAGCATAATTTATATCTATTTCCTTATTTTTTATGATGGTTATGAGGTTGTAATAGTGAAAATAACAGATAAAATATAGTTTTTTTCCAAAAAACACATTTGATAATTATCTGGAAGTTATTTCAAACATGAAATTTGAAAAATTTACGATGCATAAAAGTATTTTAAATCTTAAAATCAAAATTACTTTGCATGTTGGATAGTCAACATTTGAAAAGAAAAAATGCATGAGAAAAACATAACTTAAAAATCTTAAAACTTAATAAAAAAATTTTATATTTTGCATATGAAAGCCTTGTAATATTAACAGATAATCTGCAAAATTTTGTGAAGATACGCTTACTGTATTAAAAGTTATAGCACGAAAACTATAACAAACAAAAGAGTAAAAATAGTTACATGGTCAGTCCATAGGACCAAGCCTGTAACTGGCTCAATGCTAAATGTACAGTGTATGTTCTGGACCTACATGTCTAGTCTAGTTGGCTAGGCTGCAGACAATGACTACGCCCATTCCATCATGAACAGACTACTACAAAGTGTATGTATATGCGACATACACATGACAAACTGTGGAAATACTGTATGTGTCATTTAGCAGGAATTTCTGAGAAATGAACATCAACTTTGGCATATCAAACTGAAACGATATGGCACTTTCACTGTGTTGTTGGATGTCTCAAAGACAACATACAAGAGAAAGGAATAATTTGCACATTATGCTAAGCAAAGAGGAAAGTGATTTGCAACTGGGGTTGTTTTCATTCAAAAATTGTGATATGAATCTGGATATTTTGTCCCCTGAATTTGCTTAGTTCAAATACATAAATAAATCGACTGAAGAATCTACTAGACTGCAGGCCAGAATATCCAATTAAAGCATTTCTGGCATAAAACATTAACTCAAAAGAAGCTAGATGCATAAAAAAACAATACAACAGATCACTCACCTGGAAAAGCATTAATCAGGTCACCGCATACAATAAAGAATCTTGGTTTAGGCACCATTTGATTCACAGCCTTTATAGCTTTCTCTGTTAAAACAATTTCTTCTTGCCAGCCAGGGTTTTCTCTTTTTTCAATATAATCTTCAATCATTCCAAATTGAGTGTCAGCTGCTTGAATAAAACTGAATGGGCCCTTCCATAACCCTTCTTTTTCTACCCAAAAAATAAACAAAAATACATTCTATTCAACTTTACAAAAAAAATGTATTATTTATAAAGTGACTTTGCAAGTATATCTCCATTTTATGTATAATAAAGACTTATTTAGAGTTAGTAGTTCTTTAAATTAAAATATGGAAACATCAGTGATAAAAACATCTTGTACAAAATTTCTGAAAATACTGCAAGCACATACTTAATATACATTCCCCAAGATCATTCAAAACTGATTAACAAATACACTGTCAATTAAAGAATAACAATAGTTTTTTTTATATCTCTGTAACCCCACAGTTCATTTTTATGCAAAACAAGTACAATATGCAAATGTGTGCTATTGGAACTCATGTCCATAAATGCTCTTTAGGTACTACAGCCTCTACAGTCCTTTAAATTATCAGAAAACATGTTTATAAAAGCACATGATCACCTTGGATCCTAATGCAAGAAGTAATTTCAGGTGGCATTCTTAGAATGAGCAAATCAATGAAATAATTGAAAATATGCCATGATAAACACATAAAGCTCAGTGTGATCACCAATACTGATCTCTGCCAAACCAGTATGCTATCACTGCCATATGCATGTCTTCTCCATGAAACTGGGATTGGAGCTGATTTCAGTCACTTTCCAAATGTATACATGTCAGGCTGCAGTTTAAATCACGATTTATCTGTGAACAAGACATTCACCCATCTGCCATTTGACTAATTCACATATACGTGACATTATTGAAGATGCACTGTTTTTGGAACACACGCCTGTTAACTTACTGTCCAATTACTGCTTGGAACCATTGAATCAGATGGGAAGCTGAGAATCACTGGTTGCATTGATCACCTAATACCATATAGCAGCCTCTCAACAATGGTCTTCCCTGCTCTGGTCTTTCGTTATTAGTGGTCCAATAGTGAGTTCACATCCTGCTTCCTATCTACTAGGACCTGTGTTTGACCTGCTCCTAGCCAACCTGTTGCCCTCCAGAGTATGGAAATGTTCAAATGACTTCACTGGAGTCCTGGCATGTTTCACTATCAATCTGAATATCTCTACACACTCTGATCTTATTCAAACTGCCAATTGAGAAGCACACTGTATTACCTTCACTTTTATATACTACTGAAATTTGTATCATATCATATGACCAGTCACCTGACACTTTATTTGCATAAAGATTAATCAGGAGTGCCATTTACATTATTTAATAACAACAGACATGCTTTGGCATAGCTAGAATATAGAGAACTGTGAATATCCCTCAAATATTTTAAGCAGTGTAGTTCCATCCAATTTCACATGTAGAGAGCATAAAACATTTATTGGTGAAACAGCTTCATCAAAATCATTTTGAAAGGATGAAATGAAAATTAAAAACAGAAATAAAAGTTATTCTAAGATTTCAATCCAAAATTACTCATGATCAAATTGTGAAAGCGATACCAGAAATCCCAAACATCTACATGCATATGACTGAAAAAATTAGTATTACATATTTATATAAAGGTGTTATGGATAATATAATGCATTTCAAAATATATTTTGCAAATCTAAACATCTAATAACACTAAAAACAAATGGGTTACAGTCAAAATTACTATCAAGAACAATTTTTAAACAAACCAAACTATTAAGAAATTACAAGTGATTAAGAAATAAATATTTTTCTAATGTTGTTTGTTGAATCAAAACACTTTATCTCAGTCATGTGCATATAACTTGTTTTCACTTAAGCTAGCTCTTAAATTTTTAACTGATTTTAGTAACTACAAATATTTGTTACAGTTATATTAGATCAAAGTTTCAAAGTTTATATGTATTCTATTTTCTTAAAGGGAGAATAACTGACCCAGTACTTTAAATATAACTTGTTGCATTTATGTATACAAATTATCTTGTTCTTTCAGCAAAACCATAAGTTAATCTTATAAAGTTACTTTATGTACCAAGAGAGCTAAAGGAAGTTAAAGGATTGGAGATGATCTTAAAATTAATCTAACTGAATAGAATTTCTGAACTAAATCTGACTATTGTTCAGGTAACAAACAAGATTAATTTTCACAACAGCAAAAAAATACAACTGAATATTAAATACAAAACAAATTTTTTAAGTTAAACAGAAACTGTCTCACATGTTTCTAAAAAAATTGACAAAAAATAAACTGTAAATTTGAAAATTTTCATGCAAAGCTACACCAAGAGCTGTCTGTGCACAGCTGTCCTTAATTTTGAATTGATAGACTGGATGGAAGGCAGCTAGTACAGACAACTCTTGTTTGACTGAACAGTGAAATTTGACCACCATTCTTACAGCATAACTATGGTTCCAAAGAACATGATTTTGTGGCAACAGGCCACTATCTTTAAGCATGCTAACCAATAGGCCACGTCTTTGTCAATTTGTTTTTAAGATTTTTCCTTCCCATCTTAAACAATAACTTTATTTTTTGCTAAGAACCTACCACCCTGGAGGGTGTATTATCCATTTCTTAATTTAAAATATTTCTCTTGTTTTTCTCTACTTAGTTATTGTACGTGCCTTGGCTGATACCATTTTACTACGTCACATCAAGTGGTTAATCATTTACTAATGAAACAGTTTTTAAAATAGCTATAAAGTTTATGTATGATTGAACAGAGCAAGAATTAGAGTTTTCACATCACAGTACAGTAAATATAAGTTACTTGAGCAGTAGTTTATGACTTTGTGGGAAAGTTTCTAATCCAAGTGAAAGTGTTTGTGTGTTAAATTATATCTGTTTGAGAGCTAGAGATGGGAAGACATCAGGTAAGTTTAGTGAGTACAGTAGGTGATGACAAAATATTCTTATGACTAAAATCCATATTTATTGAATATTATTTTATACCTATGACATTCAAACAATGTACATAAATATATTGGATAACTGGCTACATAATGATTTCTAATTACTATTGTGATATGTTTTAAATAATAACATTATTACCCATATGTCTTTCTAGCTATTTTGTGAGAGTGATCAATGAGTAGAATGTAATCATTTAGTGAGCCTAACAATGAATTGATTAGCAACTTCTACTAATTGCCCAGCTTTACTTATTTACAATTTGTGTGTTATTATTGGTGTAAATATGAGATTTCCCTGAAATAAAGTGTGTAAATATGTGTTTAGAAAGTGAATGAGGTTGTTTCAAGTGAATTTTATGTGTGTGTGTATGTGAAAACGTGTCCTGAGGTGATGGAGGGTTTTCTTGTACATTTTGTTTGAAAATTATTTGATAAGAAAAGGTTTCTCATAGCATACTGTTTGCAAAAATATGTTGGGTTTATTGTTGTGTACTTTGATATGTTGATCAGGTGATGTTTTTTAAGAATTTTGCAAGTGAAGATTGATTAAGAAAGTGAAACTACTACAAATATATCATATGAAGATGTGCAGTAAGAGTTAGGTTTTCCGAATATAATGTGTTTAGTATATTACTTTTAAG